GTGATTCATGTATGCTAGATGGGGGTTATTCATATGTGTTATATGTGCAGCAGCAGAATTTCTTACATGCTCACAGCAGCATGTTGTGGATGTATTGGTAGTAGCAAGTCTCGGTACTTGCTCTGCTGCAGCAACAGCAGCAGCGTAGCAGATCTATTCTGCCTAGACCAAATACATTAACATTGTCATGTACATTACCATGCCAAACCCTCCGAGAGTTGTCATGACAGAACTGTGAACCTCACCATACAGTGGGTTAATCATCCTGTCCAACAGAAGCAGATTTTTATATTGTCTCTCATTTTCCTGTAGCCCAAAGTCTGATGGGGCAGGAGCTGCGGTTCTGGTCAGTGAGAAGTTTGTAAGGAGGAACGGATTGGAGAAAAAGGCTGTGGAGATCATCGCTCAGGAAATGGTCACAGACCTCACCAGTACTTTCGAGGAAAACCGCTGTATGAAAATGGTAAGAGTAGCTGACACTGCCATCTTGTTGAGCAGCACTCAAGCGCCAAACCGTGACTTAGTTATGACTTTTACGTTTTTTCTTAAAGGGATAGTCCACCCCAAAAGGAAACTCTGTCATTTATTCACCCTCATGTCACTCCAAACCTGTATGAGTTTCTTTCTGTGGAACTCAAAAGAAGATATTTTGAAGAATGTTCAAACAGATTCATTTCCCCCTGACTTCCAGTATATGGACAAAAAAATTCAATGGGAACCAAAACTGCTTGATATCTGCTTGGTATGTTTTGTTTTGTGTGTGTGTGTGTGTTCCGTAGAAGAAAGTAAGTCATAATGGTCTTTGAACAGCATGAAGGTGAGTAAATGATGACAGAATTAAAATTTTTTTGTGAACTATCCCTTTAAAGTATGATTCTATCTATGACATTTTCCATTGTCTTATCTCTAATCTAATGTTTTTTTTTTTACTCCGTGCTCCATAGGTTGGTTATGACATGACCCGTCTTGCATCTCAGAGGTGCTTTGACGCTTCTGGTCTGAAGCCAACAGATGTTGACGTCATCGAGCTGCACGACTGCTTCTATGCCAATGAGCTCATCACCTATGAAACTCTGGGACTGTGTCCCGAGGGTGAGATGTACAGCTTCCCAAGCACACTTTTCTAGCACAGCAAAAAGCTGCTAAACACAAGTTTAGATTAGCAGTGTGTTTAAGATTTTGCATTTGTAGGTAAAGCCGGTGAGCTGATCGATCGGGGTGATAATACATATGGTGGCAAATGGGTGATAAACCCTAGTGGAGGACTCATCTCAAAAGGACACCCGCTTGGAGCTACAGGTACGGTTTATCAAACACACCTGATGGTAGATCAGGCTGCATTAAAGGGTTAGTTCACCAGAAAATGTACAATTTGTTATCATTTACTCACTCATTTTGCTCCAGATCTTTGTTTTGACCATAGAACACAAAAGGAGAAGTTTAGCACAATGTTCACTCTGCTGTTCTCCAGTATCAGACTGTGGCTAGCTGCGGTCAAGCTCAATAAAACAACAAAACATACCATAAAAGTGATCTATGTGACTCTTGAACTATATTAAAAGTGACATGACCTATAGCCAAATATGGTGTCCCATACTCAGAATTTGTGCTCTGCATTTAACCAATCCAAGTGCGCGCGCACACACCCAGAGCAGTGAGCAGCCTTTTTTTTTTGCTGCGGTGCCTGGGGAGCAGTTGGGAGTTAATTTCTTAACTACTGAATTAACACTGGATGCATGCAGTACATCAGTTCTGCAGCTGGCTTGAGTTAGGGCTACGTTCACACTGCAGGCAAATGTGGCCCAAATCCGATTTTTTTGCTCACATGAGACTCCGATCTGTTTTTGTCATGACAGTGTGAACAGCACAAACCGCATGGAATCTGATCTTTTCAATTCCAATTTGTGCCACTTCCATATGTGGTACTAAATCCGATACATGTCCGATGTTTTGTAATGCGACCGCAGTGTGAACAGTCATGTCGGATTTCATGTGACTTTTACGTCACTCTAGATCGACATTCGTCATAATTCCGCGCTGACGGGAGACACTTCGAAGATTTTTACATACCCAAAGTTATCAAGACATTTGCGAAAGGTAATCAGTGGAAGTGTAATGTGGCAGAACTCATAAGAATTACAGTGACGACTCAACAAAACATGAGGGCTCGTATCATAAAAGCTTCAAAACTCTGCTCTCTTCTGTCACATCCTTGTCTTTATTTTTCATATTGCCTGCACATAATTTCGCCGGATTCCGCAGCAGATCACAATATAAATAAACTCATAATCGCTTACTTTATGTCCTTCGTGTTTACTTCCGTATGACAGTGCGCTGTGCAAGTGTTGCCAAATCCAGAGTTTCCCCGCGGAATTAGGCTACTTTTCCACTGTTGCCGCGGGATGTTTTTCAACTTCGGTTGTGCTAGTTTTGGACTAGTTTTGAGAAGCAATTGGGTGGATTTTGTTGTGTAAACCTGGAAACCCTGTTCGTATTGCTCTTTTGCGCATGCGGGTCAGTTCAGAACCATGATCTGTTCACACTGTAAAACTGATATTGGCAACATTTAAAACAGCAATGTGAACAGCTACACAAAAAAATCGGATCTGAGAAAATATCGGAATTGAGCACTAAGGCTCGCAGTGTGAACGTAGTGGGTGTGGTGGAATATTATACCGGTTTGTCTCCTAATTGAGAACTGGTTTGTGTCATAAACCAGGTGTAGAACGATGGGCTCTTTACGTCATCCTTTTAACCTCTCCATCCATCCACCCATCCATGTCACTTCCTGTCTTCCTCAACACTGAACAGCACAATGTAGTGCTGATGGAGGGGATTAATTTCATCTTTAGTTTTGATTTCATCTTTAGTCTTACATGGTCCTCTATCCTCAATCCATTCATCGACCCTTTTTATATACATTACGTTCTGCAAAATCATTTATTTTCAGTTTTCGTTCATTCCTTGAACCGTTTCTAATCCTTGGTTTTAGGTCATAGCACGTAAAGAATAATTTACATTATAGTTACATATATAAGAGATATTGTATTGTGTGGTAAGACAACAATTTTTCAGAGAGTTTTCAATGCAACTACTTTATTAGATTTATTTAGAACATTTTGCACAAAGACCTCCAAGAAAGTACCTCGTCCACTTTGTGCCAGTTTTGTTTACTAATGATTAGAAGACAGAAGAATCAACAGGTCACAGAATAAAGCAACACTCACATAGAACCAATGAAGACAGATGGCTGTGACTTTCAGAGCGAGTGAAGACGGTGGATGAACTCTGGCCTGTTTTCATGGCTCAGGTCTGGCTCAGTGTGCAGAGCTGTGCTGGCAGCTGAGGGGGGAGGCGGGGCCTCGGCAGGTCCCCGGGGCAAAGGTCGCCCTGCAGCACAACATCGGTCTTGGTGGAGCGGTGGTCGTCACTCTCTACAGGATGGGCTTTCCTCAAGAAACAAGGTATGTTTAAAGCTAAAATATGTTGTGTGAACTGTCTTGACAAACACTGAGATGACTGGCCTAAATATATCCAGCTCACCTCGTTTATAGTTTTGTTTTAATCTATATGATCTATATATTTAAAATTCGTCAATTATTTTCCAAAATCCCAAATATCCGTTCAAAAGTTTGGGCTTGGTAAGATTTTATGTTTTTGAAGGTTTCTTCTGCTCACCAAAGCTGCATTGTTTTTAATTAAAATACAGTATTAACAGTAATATTGTAAATTGGATGTTTATGCTGTCAATACAGGAGACAAACCAATGGGCCACTGGCTGCTCGCTGTCCCTGCGTGATGGTTTTCGGCAAAAAAACATTCTGTCGGCCCCTTAAGTGCGTCGGCCCACCGGGAAAATGCCCGGTATGCCCGATTACCAATCCAGCCCTGACTGTTTACCTCAAACAGGTAAAAGGGCAGACTGCACCATCTCAATGTCTGACTCAGATCTGCTTGAACTGATGACGGGGCAGTTGAATCCACAAACGGTACGGTTTAATGATGGTTTATTCTTAGTGGTTTGTTGATGTATTGTGTTCAGCTATTCTGAAGTTGGTGTATATCAGTGTAGTTTGAGGGCTAAATAAGGTTTGAGAGTGTCATGGGACACACAACACAAGTGTGAGTAGCTGTTTTTATTATGTGGTCACTATTGCTTTGTCTGTTATTACAGATCGTTTGATATGTGCTGAGTATTTATGCGTTTTTAACCTAAATCACAGCAGCGTCCATCTGTGTAGGATGTAGGGTGTCAAACATACACAACGGTTAGCCAATCATAGCAGTGGGCGTTTACTTCCGAGTCGACAGTCCACCACGCCTAATCAAACAGAGCGTTCTGATACTACCGTACTTACTACTGGTTTAAAATACTGTACAATACATCAGTTAGGTATGGTATAAAAAACTTTACCTAACTCGTTGCATATAAGCCAATTAAACAATAATCGTTTGTTAAAATTAGTAACAATGAATGAAGAATATAACATTAATGTATGTATTAACAACGTAGAGACTACTAGGGCTGTCAAAATGGCTGAAAAATAATTTCGAATCTTGTACTTAAATATGATCGAAATTCGAATTATATTCGAATTTAAAATGCATAATTTCAGTTAGGGTGAAGAAAAGCTTTTGGCTTCTCTTCTGAGGCCACAAGCATAAGATAACATGACTATCTGTGAAAAAAAGTGCATAATGTTTAAAATAATGTTTATAAACCAATTATAATTAAGTAGCTTAAACAACTATAAACAAAACAGCATCATGTATGTATGCATAGTTTAATACAAAGAGCGGAAAGCCAATCACACAGAGTACATTTTTCATTTAAAAACATAAGTTGCAGTGGGATGGGAAAAAAACCCCCGCCATAAAGTCTCCAGATATGTTTTTTCAAAGTTAAACTTGCATTAATTGCGAGTGCAACGGTGATAGATGTCCCTCTAGAAAATGCGTGAAATATGTGTTCTGTGTGAACGGCTTGGTTTCAGTGTTGATGTAAACAAGATCTTCTCCGCATTGATTGTTCTCTTTTTCCGCAATATTTTTAATGAACAACGCAGCAGCGCCGCATCTAGTGGCTTCAAATGGATAGGCTAACAAAAACATTATAATGCAACGACACTTAAATCGTCATCGCATCTCGTGCGGTGCGCCACTGATAAGGCTGCCTCCTTAAAGCACACCTAAAACTCGAATGCAACGTTTTTGCATTCTAATGTGGATTTTTATTTTAAATTCGACGAATATTCGAAATTCAAATTTTTTTTGACAGCCCTAGAGACTACAATGAATGAACCATAAACTGATATTTTCCCAAATCAAGTCATTGTTTTGCAATTATTTGTAATAAAGTAATTATTAATTACTTTGAGTACTTTGTTACCTATTGTGAAGTGTTACTGAATTGGCTCATAAGAGTCAGTTGCTGGTGAATTGGCCTACACAGATCATGCTTCATGTTTTTGATTCATTAAAAAGAACCAGTTCATAAGAGTCAATTGGTTGTGAATCAGACTACACTGAAAACGCTGTATGTTTTTGTGTGCAGCCCACATGGACGACTCAAGAGAAAGATGTATTTTCATTTGTTCGATCAATTTGGCCTGCAAACCTGAGTAAAATATGACTCCTTTGGCTGTGTGCCTGTAGATTCAGAAGTCACTGCTGAGAAGCAGTGCAGGAAACAGTGGAGTATAGAGTGAAATATCATTCTTGACATTTTAAGAATTAATATCAAGAGTCCATAAAAGTTAACTAATCTCTATGAAAAAAAAGCTTAACATAGAGTTACTTTGACATACCCTTGACCTGGCTTTAGCTACCATGACGTGCATACAGGATCTAAAACAACTGATTGAATTCCTGTCGCCTGTCCAACCATTTCTTTTGACTTCATCATACAGCACACAAAGCCTCCTGACACAGAATGCCGATCAGAAAGAAGCGGAAATCTTTTATGCAATTCCAAATTAGGCTAATGGCCTCTAATGGTTCCTCTGCTGATGTGAGTCAGAGCATGAAAAATAGATTGTTTTCATAAGCCCTTTGAAATGTCATTCCCCCGTGATTTATCCATCTGTGTTGACTCAACAAACCTCCATCATGTCTGTCCATATGTGGAACGCTACATCAGACATCAGATGGTTTTCACAGTAATCCTCCATAAAGGGAATCATTTTCAGATGAATCTGAAATAGAAAAGCCGAACCAATTAGAGCTCAAATCCATCATGCTCATGTAGAAATGGCCAAATGTAGAAAAAAAGTCACATTAAATGTTAGGGGAGCAGTGAAAAATGATCATAACCTTTTTATTGTGTATTCATATACAGTGTATGTAAACATGTGTGTGTGTTGTAGATTATCCAGCCCTTCTCTGTGACAGGTTTTTAGTGTTATTGACATCCTATTATAGTTTTATTTTGAAATAGTTTATTTATTCTCATTTCCGTTTTAGGTATTTTTGTACAAATTTGCAAGGTAAACTAAATGAAAATGAGAAATGTTGCCATGTCAACTAGCTGAAATAAAATGTTTTTATATTATATTATTTATTTTATGTTGTTATATGTGACCACAAAACCAGTCATAAAGGTCAATTTATTGAAATTGATACATCACCTGAAAGAATAAATAAGCTTTTCATTGATGTATGGTTCTTTAGCATAGGAAAATATTTGACTGAGATACAACTATTTAAAAATCTGGAATCTGAGGGTGCAAAAATATCAAAATATTGAGAAAATTGCCTTTAAAGTTGTCCAAATGCAATGCATCCTTAGCAATGCATATTACAAATGATAATAAATTTGATACATAATTTTACAAATTATCTTCATGGAACATGATCTTTACTTAATATATTTATATATTATAATTATTTTATATATTTACATATTTACAGTATTGTAATAATTACAATACAGACTCTGCACTGATAGAGTAGCTTTTGCATTCTCACTTGCTATGAGGAAAACGTGACCATTTTCTTTCTTCTAGGCCATTCTTGAATAACAAAGAGTTGAACTGCACTTTATTTTCCATAAGTTGAAGACGATTCATAACTCACCTGCTGAACTTTTATCCTGAAGCAGTTTGACCTACAGAAGCTGACCTTAAACTGTAACGGTTTATGGATGCATCATTCATCTCCAACACTTTCAGCACTGCATACTGTATTAGACAGTATGAATTTAAACTGTGCATTTCCCAAGAACACAACATAAGCACCATATGTTTAGAAGGAACAACAGGGTGTTTTTTCCCTTTTGTTGCATCTTCACTCGCAACTTTGAAATGAACTAGCTACTTAACTAAATTTGCAAGTACATCGTCAAAGTAAGTGGACGGCGATATGACAGAATAATTTACTGTTCTTAAACTTGAGTAAAGAGGATTAGTAAAGCTCATCAGCAGAACGAACACAGGCTCTGGGCATGAAAAGCTCCTCGATAAAACAAGAAATCGCTTTTTTTTTTTTTTTGCAGAATACAACCTTTTTTGCTGTGTTTTAATGAGAAATTATCTAGTATGTACTGAACAAAATCTAACAAAATGAGCAAGTTTGTCTCCTGTTAGATAACTGGCTACTATTCTCTGTTATTAACATTTGTAATGCCAATGCCATTACTTTACATTGACCATATCATGGAGGAACTTTTAATAAGAATTATTCTGCAGCTTAACCCACTGGATATATGCATCTACACAAACCTCTCGTCTTTGAACACTATGAAATAAGGTGCACCGAACGAGTCATAATTTAATGGAATTTCATTCAAATCACAATTATTACATTTGACATTTTTCATAAAAATAATCCATACAAGTTCTGTAAGGCTTTGAGAGTGTGTGGCATGACGTGTGAGTCCATAAAGCCCACTTCTGACAAATTTCACAGAAGTTTGGGTTCAGCATGACCCGACATCTGAACGAGTAAAGAAGTTATACACTAGAGCAGGGGTCAGAAAGCATCGTCCTGAAGAGTTACAGGTCTGGAAACTATTTTCATGAGAGAAAATCATTGATATTTAATTGTTATTTAATGTTAACATACAAACAATACCATTCAAACATTTGGGGTTGGTAACATTTTTTAATGTTCTTGAAAAAAGTATCTTATGCTCACTAAGGCTGCATTTCTTTGATCAAACATACAGTAAAACATTAATATTGTGAATGTGAAATTAAATTACAATCTTAAATAACTGTTTGCTATTGGAATATATTTCAAAGCTGAATTTTCAGCATCATTACTCCAGTCTTCAGTGTCACATGATCCTCCAGAAAGCATGCTGCTCAAGAAACATTTCTTATTATCAATGTTGAAAATAGTTGTATTTTGTGAAAAAACTGTGATACATTTTTATGATGCTTTAGAAAGTTAAAAGAACAGCATTTATTTGAAATATAAACCTTTTGTAACATTAAAAATGGCTTTACTGTCACTTTTGATCAATTTAGTGCCTCCCTGCTGAATAAAAGTATAAATTTCTTTAAATAAATCTTGCTGATCCCCAAACTTTTGAACAGCAGTGTGTGCATACATGTAAATATATTTACAGTATTCCCCAAATATAAAAGTCTAATCTGTATAAATAATCAATAAATGTCAGTGCATTAGATAACAAAAGATCAAACCAAGCAGCATCTACAAACAAATGATGCTGGAGCTTTTCTCAGTTTTTCTTACTAACTTAAACATCTTGTCTCAAAACCAACTTTGGTGTTTTGGTGATTTTTTTAGTATATGTATGATATCAGTTCTCGTTAAGTTCACACAGGTGTCGTAGCAGAGGAACATGATAAAATGCCATTTATTCCTGTGATGCACAGCTGAGTTTTCAGCATCATTACTCCAGTCTTTAGTGTCACGTGATCCTTCTAACGTTTGACAACCAGATATACTGTATAAATACAGTCATTTTTAGATAGAGGGTTTCGGGGTTGTCCACAGCTCTGGGTGGAGGTAACGGCTGAAACCTCTGATCTAATGCACTGACATCTGGACATTTTTATATGTAGCAAATATAAGTGTCCAAAAACTTCTTGGGGCCACTGTATGTATGTTAAATCTTCTTCAGGGGACAGTTTCCCTCAGTTTCTCTCTCTGTTACTGAAAGAGAGAACTTAAAGGGATAGTTCACCCAAAAATGAAAATTTGATGTTTATCTGCTTACCCCCAGGGCCTCCAAGATGTAGGTGACTTTGTTTCTTCAGTAGAACACAAACGAAGATTTTGAGCTCAAACCGTTGCAGTCTGTCAGTCATATAATGGAAGTGAATTATATGTGCGTCCGTCTTCAACGTCTCTGGCCTGTGTTAATGGACGTTTACAGACTTCATATTTTCACATAAATGACATTTTGGAAAACGATTGCATTGCAACGCAGTTTTTGCAAGTCCAGAACAGAGACGAGTTGCTTGCAATAAGACAAAAAACGTCCGTTTGCCGATCGCGTAAGTTCCAGGGGAAGCTCCTTAGTTCGGCCATCCTACACACACGTGACTGACCGCTCGCTCGCACCAACAGGAGGAGGA